TGTCTCTTTCACTCGTTTTCGGTAGATTTAATAAGTTAAAATGTGAATTTATCATCCCCTCAAATTATACCATAATTAATTATTATTTTTCAACGCTCCAAGGCGTCGCGGATACATTTTTGTGCAATTTTAGAAGATCGCGGGATTTCAACATTATAACATTTACCACGTGAAGCACACAAGTCCTCATTCCTTGATAAAAGGAATTGATAAAAGAAATGAATTTGCAAACAATAATTATTAAAAAATATTAATATTTTTAGATCAGTGAACTCATACTGTAGACCGTTATAGTCGTCGGTTCGAACACCGAAGAACGATCATCGTCATCAAAAGAGAGAGACTCACCGACGAGCAACAAAAGGAACGCGACGTATCCGAGCGCGTAGAGGTTGTATTCGAGCACCCGCATGATCCCTCCACCTAGGTTTTGCTTCCTGGTCACCTAAACGCTCCGACCTGACTGTAGAAGCTAGGATCCAAAGGTTCGTCGAGGAACCAGCCTCATCCTCAACCACCGTCGATCAGAGTCACAGAGAACAAGCCACGATTCACGAGTTAACAGTAATGAAACACGGGGACGAGGACGAACGAACGATGGTAACCGGTCCTCGAGACGCGAAAGACTGGGGAAAGGCGCGTTTGCTCGGTCGTTGGTTCGACGTTAAAGACACCGCGACCACCTCTTCTTGTTTCTTTGCTCCCTGCCATTCCCGATCTGTGACGCTCTCCCTTCACGACAAGATAAGTCCTCTCCCTTCACGGATCATCCTCTAGAAAGTCGCATCGAGACGACCTTCTAGTTCACGGCGAAACGATGACACAGTGCGACGTCGATGATATCGCTGTCTCGTTGATATTCCGGCCCCATCCACAGGCGAATCAGAGTTTATTTTTGACGAAGGATGAGAAGCAGTGGATCGAAAAAGCCTTTCTTGCTTCAGGCTGATCGTTCCTCATCATCCCTTGTGAAAATGTGACAAGCTCTGAACTTGTCTGTGCACTTACGCAACAGTTTCATGGATATCGGAATACTCCGTAGTCATCTGAACATTTCCACGATATTTCAATTCTTGCTTTTATTCTAGTATAAACGATGCAAAGATTTATAAATCTTGGGAGATGTGTACGGGTCCTTCTGTTTTTATCCTCTCGTGACGAGTCATCGCTTGGTCTCGATTAGTGTAAACGATTAATTAGTGTGTCGATCGATGCCCTCTTAATGTGGCGCAACATTTTATATTTATGCCAAACATAAGAGGAGAAGAGTTGAACACCGACTATCAAAATCAAATCATCAGCTTCAGTGGGAAGAAATTGAATTCTTCAGCTGCAGCTAAAACTCGTGTTGCTAAAGATGCCTCGATTTCTTAAGACGGCGACCCAAGCGACCGGTCGAATATCAATCAGAGTGTTGCATCAGTCATCTCTTGGTTACGTGTAATTTCACGGGAATGTGTTGTAAAGCGATTTCTCTGCTTTTATTTCGAGCTTGGCCATCTGACTGAATTGCCTCTATCGACCTGTATCTCAAATATCTGCTTTTTTGCAGTTTTTATCATGTATTCAAAACATTT